TAGTTATGCAGTATAGACAGATAGTACTTAAGCACATATTTCTTGATGATATATGCCAACAGATTTTCTACTTTTTGCATGCTCATCGTTTCTCTCTCTCGTTACAATGTCTCGCACACAATCACTACACAAAATTTATCAGGCAGGCACATTGAATTGTTGTGTTTAATGCGGCCATGTTGTTTCAGTAGATGGTTAGCGACGCTAACGTCGCGCTACTTGTTTTTTAAGACTACAGTTACATCTATAAAAAATAAGTCATTTTCATAAGGTTTTTTTTTTTGTATTTTGAAATACACTATATAGATTTTGTTTACTTTATTTGATATCAAGGAAATAAAATAGTGTTTATAATCTATGTACAGAACGAGCGATACATAGTCTGTATACACCCTTACACAACCTGGTTGCGTCATATGCACTGTGTTCTGATAGTTCATATAACTCACTATTATGATCATATATTCCTGTGACTGTATTTGGAGTTATAGAATTCTATATAGAAAAATATAAAGCAAAACCAAGACTGCATGAGACCTTTATAGACAAATAAAGTAAGTGAACGTTTTTGTCTCGGTAAATCAGTGCATTTCTTTATTTACAACACAAAAATATGCAAACTGTCGTGCTGAATCATGTAAATAGCGGTATCTGTCAGAGTATGGTCATTAATTTAAATATTTAACTAATCGATCGGAGCGGAGCGATGGCGGAGTGCTATTTTAGTTGCTCTGTGGATCTTTAATGCAGCGCGTTGTAGTATGCTTGTTTATCAACAACTCCAACATACCTATATCGTATCGAAGCTAAATTGATCGATGAAGTTAATTCAATATAACTAAATATCAAATAATTATCAATCAATTTATGATATTAAAAACAAAATATATTCCTTTGACGGTAAGAATATGATCTAGATACGGATATTTACCTATGTCTGTTTGTAACATAGTTACTATATAGCTAGTAATTATAGTATTAATGGTCGCGTAGGGTGACAAACAATGGCACTTACGCATTAGAACTCAAATTAATCGAGGAGTAGTATTTCAGGATGAAGAATAAGAAATTCGTGTCCATTGTGAAATGGCTATATACACTTGGTATTTCACTGTATTGTAAACGATCGAGTACTCGGTTTTCAATCCGTTATCAACTGTGCACGGCGTCATAAAATGAAGTCGTAATACTACGCCAACTAAACATCAATTTACCTCTATTTGTGACTGCAAACTGTATGAAACGACAGTACACAGTATCGTTTTTTACAATCTTAACGACTGTAAACATCGTCCTTAGGAGTCATGCAATACGTCAACATGCAAAAATTATTATTATTATTATTAAACTATTGAATGGTTTGACCGATTATTCAATGTCATATGCAAATTTGAATAATGTGATATTAATGTTTTTGCAATAGAAATAGTGCTAACATAACATATTATTTATTAATATAAAACATAAGTTTTATTTCGAATATGAAGAAGACACAAAGTAATATGAGTGACGAAAAACTGCAATGCTTTGAGTTTCAAGTTGTTTTATTTAAAATATTCAAACTTTGATCATACAATTTTTAAAATCAATATACTACTATTAATGACAGTATATCATTTATAGAAATTCAATAGTTAGATACATGTCAATATACAATACGGTATATCAAGTCACTTGTTGTGTTTACCTAATTAGTACTTTAATTATTAACGGCACATTTATATATCTAAGTGCACCGATATACGTATCTCTATGTCGTCAGTGTAGAATCAAGTGAATCGAGTCTCGATAAATGTTACTTGTAATTATTGTTATTTTTTTTATTTTAAAAGCATTTCTATCGTTTCTTTACGCATAAGCATAGAAGAAATTATTCAGAATAAATTAAATATTACTTTTTGTTAATACTTTATATGATTAGAGAACTATTCTGACGACCCTAAAGTCTGTAAGTAATGAAAGACTTCTCCAGAATATTGTGTTCTACTTTGAACAGCACATAACTATATAATTATAACAGCTCTCACAATATCTTTTATTCTCGGATGTTTTGCATTTTTTACTGTAAATCTGAGAAAAGAATCGAAAAAAAGAATGTCATAAGCAAAAACATCAATTGTGAAAAATAGAATAAAAAAGACTCATTCGTAATAAGGGATCACTAGAATTGAATGGCAAAAGCATTCTTCTTTTCAGTCGCGTGTTCTGTTGCTTACGTCTATCGTTCAGGCGTTGTATATGTATATATGAGTGAATTGCAGCTGTGTTGTACGATTCAAATTTCGAAGTGTGTTTCTTAATGCTTTGTTTGTTGTGAACCAGCTTGTATATGGATGTCGTGAAATATGGTTTTCAAAAGTTCAATTTAGTGAAATCTTTGTTTGACTCAGTATAAGTCTGATTCTCCTGAGCATACAACTTGTTTTTATATGAAGTAATTCTCTTATAAGTATTCAGTTAAAATCTTATTGAAATCAGACTATAGTATTCCCGACATCTTTTTAATTAGTTACAGTCATTAGTGTTGTCAGAATAACTTCATAATTATATAAAATATTAAGAAAAAGTAATGTTTAGCTTTTCTGAATAATTTCTTCTATGTTTATTCGTAAAAAATTATATATATGTTTTTAAAATGAAAAATTAACTATATACATTTGAGCAAAAGTCTTTTCGCTTTCTCCTCTCCCGACTCCATCATTCTTTTCGCAGTTAATCTCTTTGTTCTCAAACGAATGTTAATCTTTATTCTAATGTAGTGTATAATTGATGACAAATTAATGGAATGAAGAATATACGTCTCATAATACAACTGAGCAATAGTAAAAGTCAGTCAGTTGACAGAATGCTTCATGACAGGATGATTTTTTTTTGTATCTGTTAACTGTTTTACTGGTTTGAATCACTAAACACTCTGCATCACCGACTCGAAACTTCACCGACAAGACGGCACAGTCGATTATACAAATACAGATAAAGTAAAACTAGTCAAATATTCTGAAAATATTTTTAAAAACGGATAGCCGAGCCATGAAGGATTCTAGCAGCCAGCTCATTTGTAGTGTTGCCAGATTTTACTGAATGGCATACATTTTTTACTGAAACAGGTGGAAATCAATCATATACTATACTAATATACAGTATTTCAATGTTTCTTGTAACCAACGCTCACTTAAAGCCACAGGGGTTCGAAACAAAAAGAATCAGTGAGGAGAAAGATTTTTGTTCCGAGTATGTATATATTAAGTAATCGATCAACAGAAAAATCACATTCTCTTGCTTCAGTGGCGTTTGAAACTAATAACTACATACAAACTTCGTTTGATCCAAACAATTCAGTTTAAAAACAATATACAATGACACAACCGTGGAAACGTAATGAAATTCTATTTAGATTACCTACTAATATTGTATTTCAATGTATCTGTCTATTTTTAGATGAAATATTTGGCTGTTTCGACGATATCCCAACATGTTTACTTGGTTGGTGCTGTTCTTGTTATTTATTTGGTCAAAATGCGGAAAAAATTGATGGATCAAGCAAAATCGGCATGTGTGTGGGTTACTTTTGTTTATCAGGCTGTTATCTGTGTTGTTTACTTCATAAGCCACGACGACAAGCCCTACGTTATGCATATAGTCTCGAAGAAAGTCCTAGTGATTTGCTTGCTACATGTTGTTGTAGTGCTTGTGCTAATTGTCAAGAAGCAAGAGAAATGAATGAACGAGGTTTGTCACGAATTGTCTTCTAAGTCTATTTTCTAAATTTTGTTTTAATTGGTATTAGGAATACAATCTGGTAATCGTATTCCAGTAACTTCTCAACCTCGTTAAAAGGCATGTTTACAATTGATAAAAAAAACACTAACGAATATCATCTTCCATTTCTTTTTTTTTAATTTGTTCTTCATTTAAACTATTGCATGAACTGTTTAAGAAAACAACTGTATTCATATTTTACAAAATAAAACATAATTTTTAATGGAAAATAAAAGAAGAAACGTTTTAATAATTACAAATTCAAGAAAGAAAAGATATAATGATTTAATGAAACAACGCGGTCACATAAATATCGTTGCACTAACAAATAGTATTAATAATTGTTTGTATATTTAATTTTTTGTGAATTATAAAATATTTTATTTTTCAAATTATCATATGCACTTCTTTATTTCGATGCATACTCCTTACAAAGAGAAATCGAACAATAACATATCCTTGACGTTAAAATTGAAAAATAGTTTACCAAGATAGTGCTATCGTTTTGTAAAACTTCAAATTTTAAATAGACAGTTAATGATAAATTATGCTTGCTAATATGTTTAAACATCAATCAGTAAAATTTACTTACAAATATTTAAATCAAAAGGTAAGTAAAGAGATTGAAATGATTTGCTTTTCTTTTCTTCGTTTCGTTCCTTCTTTTTGCCATGTATTACACATGTAATGAAAGACATTCATTTAGGTACTCTGCTTCTTTCTTTTCTTCCTACTGCAGCTTCGAGTCTAAAGGACGAATATGGTAAAAATTATTCAATATAAAAAGGATGAAATGAATCGAAATGAAAGACCTTGATTAAAAAAAGGAAAAAATGAAAATATTGAATTAATGAAGTAACATTTTATAATGTTGATGGAGTAGAGATATTAATTGGTAAACATATAGTTAAAAAATTACTATGAACCTTGCAGAAAATAGAAGAAAGTTTATTACAGATGTAGCAAAGCCAAGCGTCATAGACCTTTATTTAGAGCAAATATTTATCTTCTATAGCATGCTGACAGTGGAAAAAAATTATTCTTTATAAAATTGAAATTCATCATAAAAGTTATGTGGGCGTGAATGAAATAAAAGCTCGTTCGAGTCCGTACTCTATTTAATACGAATTTAAAAAAATACTGCTGATAAAAAATCTATATTTTGTTACTTCTAATTATATATATCATAAACTAACCATTTTGTAACCAAATACGACTAATTCAAATACTAATTATTTAATCTTTAAACTGATAATTTGATTATATTTTTCATTTTAATTTCTATTCATATTCATTCGATTCAAATAATCTTCTATAAAATATTGCTTTATTATTTATTTCCAGTCTACTAGTAGAAAGATAGACGAATAAAACAAAATAGCCAAAAAGAAAAAATGAAAAAAAAAAACTAATGAGTATTTTTTTCATGTTCACAAGCGAGTAATAGTTGAATCAGAAGCAGTATTAGTATTATTCTTTTCTTCTTCAGATGAATTTGTTGATGGTTTACTAAATAAGTCAGGAACACCTGGTCGTGAAGATTGTTCTTCAGGTTTTGTTATTGTTGCATATTCACCCATATATTCAGGTGATCTTTGATAATTACTACTAAAATCTGTAGCTGTTAATGGTATTTGATGAAGATTAGGATCCTGTCGATTTGTTGATGTTGATTTAATACTTGTTTGAGATGTTGTTTCTGTTTTATCGATAGCTGGTGAATGAATCCATGGACGAATACGTTCAGCAGCCGTTGATACAGTATCTGATCAATCAAAAAAAAAGAACAGAATATTAAAAGTCAAATTGAATGCATTACAATATCTTCATTCTTACCATGAAAAGTACTATGAGTAGATGGAGATTTCGTTTCATGATTGGAGATAACAGATAATGATTGATCTTTTGATTTTGATTCTGTTCGAGGACTTTGTTGTTTTGATGTTAATGTTTCTGAATGATCATGGATGGATGGCGTAGTTTTTAAATTTGATGGTCGTCTAGCATTGGCATCAAATTTATTTATAAGTCTATTTGTATGTAATGAATCTCTTTTAGGTCGAGACGGTAAATATCTATGATCACGATGATGGAGTAATTTTTCAAAACGAGCATTCATTTCATTATCTTCACCAACAATTTCATCTTGATTCCGAAGATGAATTGTTGCCTAAAAATATTTATTAGATTTCATATTTATTTGATCCATATATGAATACTATTAAAATAGCTTATGCGATGCATGAAATCATTAGAAGATCAATGAAAGTAATCAAAACAAATATTTGATATGATAAAAATCCCATATTTTTACGAATATTTTGATTTATTTCATATTCTTTGATATATCATTATGAATGAGATTAATACGATAAATATTTCAATAAATATCAGCTTTTATCTAATTATACTCAGGTCATATCAAAAGTAGTGATACCTTGATGAAGAAAAAAAACACCTGCAGACACAAGTTTATCAAGTGTGTATTTCATGAAACATTGTAAGTAGTTCCCCTGATTGATTGAGAGTATGAATGTTGTTATTGGCTTCATATACACTAAAAATCTTCAAAAAACCAGGGAGCCTACTTCAAATATTTGCTGAAATAAATACTTGACAAACTTGTTGCTATAGATTTTTTGTGTCAAGCTATCGAGGGGTGTCCAAGGACAGAGAATTAGAAATTTCTCATCAGTTCTCCTACAGTTCCTTGCATACTAAAGGTAAAAATATGGAATATTCACGATAGTTTTTGTTCTCACACTCTTTTTCATCTGCAAAATTGTGAGAACCAATAGTTCCGTGCGCAAATTACTTTTAAAAAAGCAATATCGCGGCTTTCGTGAATGGTGGAACTGTGAGGGAACCAATGGTCAATTCCCATTTCCTCTAGGAATTATCACAGCGGCACTAACAATACCTCGACAGATTAGGAATTCCTATTTCTCAGTCCTTGGACACTGTTGGCCAAATGAGCTATTTTTGACTTTTGTTTATTGATAATTACCTGAATATGTCATGATTTAGGACTAAAAATTTTTATCACGATTTCTCTGCTACATTCTCAATATATTCTGAAAATTTCATGCGCTTGGCCTGTGATCGATATATGAGGAAAGGAAACCTTATACTAACCAAATGATGATAAGAAAGTTAGATGAATATCATCATTTTTTATTTTTCAACTGTACATTCTATAGACAATCGAATATAACTAAAATATCAAAGAATATTTATCAACGAAAGTGAATCCTTGATAATTGTATCTTTTATTCTACTAATCAATTATTATTCTATCGACATTCATTGATTGATCGGTTTCAACTACAATAAAACCTCTCTAATTTGAACACCATCGAGACAGATCAGAAGTGCTCTTTTTATGAAGAATAGTTAATTTTTTTCAACCTATAAGTATTCAGTTACAATCGTTTGTTGGCTACATAACGTAATCTTTTTCTTCTTTCCAAAAATCTATTAAATCAATTTTTTTAATCAAAGGCAAATCAATACATGTTGACTAACACAAAAATGACAAGATGCTATACCAACCACTGCTGATATTGTCTAATATTGTTTTTTTTCTTCTTTTAATTATCCATGATTAGTCCATTTCTTGTTCCTAAGCGTCCCATGATTGTTTATCATAACATTCTTGTTTTCTCGTTGTGGGTGTGGGTGATATGTGGTTCACATTACAAAGGTTGTCATTTCTCGTAGGACTAGAAATAAGTGCCCACTGTTTGGAATAAAGAAATGCTTATTTATAGCAAAACTTGCTTGCATGAACAATAGACTATCTAGTATCATGAGGTATTCACTTAGTATTCATCTATACAGATTTTATACTCTCGATCGATGTTTTCTATTAGATTAAACCATCAACTAGCTCGATTTCTTTTTTTTTCAATGTTAATGAGACACAATTTGGCAAGTATGGACTAATACCTCACTATAGAAAATTTAATTAGTAATTTTAGCAATGATATATCAATTTTGAGATCGAGACATTGTAAAAGTCATGAATCAAAATGTTGTTATTATTATTTTTTTATTATCAAGTCTGAAATAATCAAACTACACCAATGTCTAATTACATTTTAGAAAAATAAGCAGGCACACATCTTTTTTTAGGTTAACAATATGCAATATGAACGTATCATTTCAAAACTGCTTTCAGGGCATATCCTTGGAATAGGAACTGCTGTAACTAATACTGGCAAGTATTTTAAACCAAGTTCATATAGAGAAGGACAAAGATTTTTTTTTGTAAAGTAAATTACTTTTTTCGATAGAAAAGCATCAAGTTCTATGAAAATTCTTAGTTAATCATCAAAAGATGGATGCAGGTCTTCGCTTCACCGCCATTCACGTTCTAATTGAACTGTAATATAATAGCAATGAATTTATTTTATTCAGTAAGAATGGATCATGCATACAAAAGGAAAGAAGAACTACATAATAAATAGACACTCATAGATTATCGATTACATACTATATTACTAGTAAAAGAAAATAACTAAAAAAATTTGCCTGTTGTTACAACATGGTGTTGCATAGAGTCCATCGGGTTAGTCCCGGTACCAAACGTGGACCTAATTTAATCCGAGTCCTAAAAGTTTGTACCCAATGGACTCTTGCCGCACACAAAAAGTCGGAAAAAATATTTCATATCTTCGGGGTAACTATCCATTTTCGATTAGAAAATTTCATTGAAAGTATCAAAATCCCATTCAACTAGGTTCGGAACCTAAAAAAAGTTTGATCAATCGGGTTCGGATTCGCGTATCAAAAATGTTCAATAGACCATGTTCGAGTCCGAAAACTTTGAACCCGAGAAATTCTAGTGTAACGTCTAGGTATTTATCTGGATACGTATGTATAATTAGAAACAAAAAGAAGAAATCAACTGTAGATTCTAGACTTGGAAAACACAAACTACAATTTCATCGAGTACCGTTTTGATATAATGCATACAATTACTGATCCTTCGAAACCAAATGTGGCCACAATCGTACTCGAGTACGAGCACTTTGCCCGGGCTATGTAATGAAATACGTAGACATTATACAAAT